GATGTCCAGGCGATCGCAAACCTGGATTCAGGGGGGCGTGGATCAGCGACCGGCCCGTTTCCATGGGAACTCGCGCTGCTCCGCCGCCGAACGAGGCGGCGCCGGCCGCCTTTTGGGGCGGGCACCTTTGCCCGATCCATGCTTGCGCGCCCCCGAGATGTGCGGCCAGGACACCTCGGGCTCCGCGTGTCGCGCTCCGCCGGGATTCTGGTCCACCACGCTCAAGCGTTAAGTCGGGCCTGTCCCTCTACAGGGGGATATTCCAAAGTAGTCCAAAAATAGTCTGGGGACGAGTTCTTGATCTATTCTGGACTTTTGGAGTATTGTTTTAGCATGTTTTGAATTTTTCGCCCAAAATCCGCATGTAGGGGGACATGCCCGACCTAGCTTAAGCGGCGCGCAGCATGCGCGAACCGTTCTCCGCGGTCCCCAGGCGGTAGCGTCCCGGGCCTCTCGCCCGAGCCCCCCCTCGCCCGCGCTGTCTCGCCGCTGCATCTCGCGATGCCTCGGCCATATGCGGCGCGATCCTGCTCGGCCCCAGCTGGACCCCCTCGGGGAGTCCTCGAATTCTGCTGCCGTCGGGAGCACTGGCTCCGCGTGCGCTGCCGGTGTGGGCCCACGATGTCGGCGCGGGCACGCTGACCACGCCCCCCCTTCTGGAGCGGCACCGTCCCGAGCTTTTCCCGAGCGCCCCCCGCCCCGCGGAGCGGAGCGGCACGCGCTCTGCCTGCAGGGGGGCGGGGCGGCACGTCGCCGGGGCCGCCGCCGCGGCGCGCGGCACGGAAAAAGGTGCCCGACCGTGGGAAGGACTGTTGCCATCCGGGTAGCTTTCCTCGACGTAGACCTCTGTGGCCCGCTGTCGGGCTGGGGGCCATCAGGAATCGCCCCGCAGCGAGCCCCCCCCCCGCCCCAAAAAAAGAAGCAACCGTTGAAGGGGCCCAGGCCCTGGGGCGCAGCTTCGAGCATCCTGTCGTCGGGTGTCTGGGATTGGGGTTAAGTCGGGCCTGTCCCTCTACAGGGGGACTATTCAAACATAGTCAAAAAATAGTCTGGGGACTATTTTTGCAGCACCTTTGGACCATTTTGGAGCATTTTTTGTGTAATTATTTGTTTTCGTCGACAGTCCCCCTCTAGGGGGACACGCCCGACTGAAGATGGGGGGGAGGCCGGGGTGCGGTGCCTGCCACAGGCCTCTCCCAGGGTCCGCGACGATGTTTTCTCTGCGGTTTCCCGTGCGGACAGCTCTTCTCGAGCTCGGCCCCTGCACGGGGCTGGGTCCCTTTCGATCCGATCTCGATCCCGTTCGGCAGCGATGCCGGCCCGCCCGGCATCGATGCGGCACATCGATGTGTGTGGGCGGCCCGCTGCGGCGCCCCGGCGCTCGCATGACGCTGCCGCGCATCCTTTCGGAGGGCACCAACTATACACCAACACCGATCCTGGCCCAGGACCACCCTGGGCCCAGGATCGGTGTACATGCCTTCTTGCGCAAGGCAGGAGGGCGTATACACCGATCCTGGGCCCAGGGTGATCCTGGCCAGGATCGGTGTTGGTGTATAGTTGGTGCCTTCCTATCCTTCGGGGGCGGAAGAGAGGGGGTTGATGACTGGGGAGGGGTGGATCTCATGGCGTGGGCCATGAGATTTCCCCAGATTTCATGGCGCCTCTTCTCATTTCCTCACGTCCCGGGCCCCGCCGCTGGGCCCCCTCTTGGACACCCCCCTCTTGGCCGCTGCCGAATCCTGACGAAGCCGATGCAGCGCGGCCCGAAAATCCCACGCAGATGCCGATGCGGTCCGCTCCCCCGCGCCCTGCCGAGGCCCCGAGCCCCGGGGAGCGGTCGTGGCCGGGGCCACGACAGCTCCCCTAGCCAGTAGACTGCGTGCCTCCCCGCCTGCTTCCTCCGGCGCGGCCGTGGGTCCCCCTGGGCCAGTCTCTCCTCCTCCTCCTCCTCCTCCTCCTCCTCCTCCTTCGTGCCTCGCTGGCCCTGGCTCAGGACTGGACTGGACCGGAAGAAGCTGCGCCCAGACGGCGCATCGGCAGACTTTTCGTACTATAGATAGGAGGCCACGAAAAAAGTATATCTAATGTGCAAGCTCAGTGCATGCGCGCGGGAACACGGCCACTGCATTGAGCAGTGTTGGGCGGCGGTAGGCAATACATCAGCGCGATATACTGTGCAAGAAGGGGGGCAGGAGTCAGAGGAGGGAGGGCAAAGGAGGACAAGGACGAAGGGACGGGGGTCAGCCCATCCCCCTCCGACATCCTCCTGGCAGACCCGCGCTGACCCGGATCAGTTCGTCCCCGAAGGATTTGCGGACGCCCCTCTTGGACGCGACCGAGCTTTGCTATACCCTGAGGTCCCACACGTCAACCACGCCCGGAGCCCTGGGCCCCGCCTCCCTGCGTCCGCTTCCGAGCCGGACAGATCTGTGAAGCTGCCCCGGGGCCCAATACTGTGAGCGACAGCGCCCGCTGTGCCAAAAAAAATGCAGCGCCAGGATCTCAGGGTACCCCTATTTTCTTGACCTTCCAGGAGGGCTACAAAACAGCACCAGGATGTCGACGTCCTACTTCCTGTCGAGTGTTGAGGCAGTCCAGATAGATCTACAGGTCTGGAGTGCTATTTTATAGCACTCTGGAAGGTCAGGGTTTGGACGCCCTTCCTCGGACGACATCGCCGAGCTCTGCTATCTGCCCCTCCCCGCCTTGCGTGCGGCCCGGGAGGCGCAGGCGGGCAGGCTGTGGCTGCCGGAGCGGGGCTGCAGCGCCGAGGAGCGGCGGCCACCGCTTCTCTCGTGGGGGGGGGCGTCTCGGGGCCTCGGCTGCTGGCGATATTCGATTCGGGTTAAATCGGGCCTGTCCCCCTACAGGGGGATTTTCGACGAAAAATAAAACATACTCCAAACAAAAAATAGTGCAAACATAGTATGGGGACTATTTTTGCACTATTGTTTGATATTAGTTGGGGTATTTTGGGGGTATGTTTTATGTTTCGTCGAAAATCCCCCTGTAGGGGGACACGCCCGACTTAAGATTTGGGGCAACAGGATTCTCTTGCACAGCTGTGTTCTAGAGCTCGGACCTCGTTTTTTTCGTTCGTCGTCGTTCGTTCGTTCGTCGTTGGTCTTCCACCCCCTGGCCACAGAAGGAAACTCCTGGAGGAAGGAGGCGAAAGCCTCCTGTCCCTGGCAGCTCCTTGGTGCAAGAGCCAGGGCACGCGTGCCACTTGTCCTAGGCCTCCCAGATGGGGTCGGGGCAGCATCGCCGATGCATCCCCAGAGATCCGATGCTCCAAGAAAAATTGGCGCGGCGGCATTCTATCCGTTTTCGGCCTCTGGGGGCCCTCGCCGGGCCTCGGGAGCGTCAAGGAACGACTCAGGGCGAAAAACCGACTCCGGGGAAATGGTCCGGACCCCTCCTGGGGCCCACGCATCGAACAAAAATTGGAGCGGCCGGATGTCTGGGTCTGCGATGCGGCTCGATGTGGAGCCCGCTCTTCTCCACACCGACGTTGCCGACGCATCGCCGACGTCGCCGCTGCATCGCAGCTGCATCGCCGATGCATCGCCGATGCATCGGCGATGCCTCGGCGATGCGGCGCGATCCTTCGACCCCATCTACTCGGACCCCGTCTAGAAATCCTTTCATTATACAGTCGAGAGCACTGGCTCAGCGTGTCGCTCCGCTGGTGTGGGCCCATGTCGTCGCGACACGCTAACCACGCCCCCATTCCTAAGCGTCAACGTCCCGAGCTTTCCCGAGCCTCCCGCCCCGCGGAGCGGAGCGACACGCTATCTGCTTGCAGGCCATGATGGCGTGTCGCCGGGGCCGCCGCTGAGACACGCTAAGCAAAAGCTGCCGGCCGTGGGGGCTAGGTTGGGGTGGATCGCATCGACCCCCAATCGCCCATCGATTGCCGATAGTGCCCGATAGCCTGCCCCCTCCCAGGACCGCTGGGATTTGCCATCGGGGGCCTATCGCCGATGTGCCGGTGATTCCAGGTCGATGTTTCTCCCTTTGAGTTGGTTCTCCACTGTCGCTCATCCGCAGAGGATAGAGGGATGGAGGTTCCGAGGATCTCGAGGATCGTGTGGTTTGAGCTTCAAGGATTGTTTGTCTGGACGCAACCTTGCCTTTGGGCCTCGTTCGACGCTTTGGGCTTCTGGAGTACTCCTTGTCGGGGACGATCTGGAGGGGACGGAGAAAGGAAGGGAAGGGACAACGAGGCTCGATCGGATGACAGAGGTGGGGCAGGGAACGGATCGAGATGGAGCCGGTGCGGAGCCGGGGGGGGGGGGCGGGATTGTGACCGAGGCTTGGGGATCGCGAGGCAGGTGGTTGGACGGCGGTGCTTCTGGAAACTTGTGGGGCCTCCCAGCGGGGACCACCCAGGCCTCCGGGGAGGGCGCCCGGGGGTGGAGGCGTCCTCGATGTGCAGAGGCACGCGCCCGCCCCTGCCCTCGCCGCTGTCGCATCGGTACCTCGCGTGCAGTGTTCCTGCTGCCGCCGCCAGCACGGGAGGGTGAGGCATGTGTGCTCACCTCCTCCTCTTTCAGGCCATCGCAAACATGGATCAAGGGGGCGTGGATTAGCGACGGGTCCCGCTTCCATGGGAAATCCCGGATTTCCGCCGCCGAACGAGGCGGCACCGGCCGCATTTGGGGGAGGGCACGTCCCCCGATCCATGGATTTGGCGACCGCGCGCCAACTCCATGGATCTCTAGTCCATGCCTGCGCGCCCCCGAGCCTTGCCGTGACGGGAGCCCGGCGCCCCCTGAAGTGCAGTGCTCCTGCACGGGAGGGGGCAAGCGTGTGCGATCCTCCCCCCCCTCGCCGTGCCGTGCCGTGGCAAGCCCGGCCCCCCCTGTGCAGGAGAAGGACTTCATCCGGAGCCTCGCGCACGCCGAGCCGGACCGGCGGCTGGGCGCCGGGCAGACGAGGGAGGCCCTGCAGCACGAGCTCTTCAGGCAAGTGCCGTCGAGCGCACCGGGGAGGACCCTCGCCATGCCTCAAGCAGTGGCGAAGCGTCCTGGCTCGCCTATAGCCCTAGCGAGCAATGTTCTAAGAACCTTTTGTGGTTTCCACGAAATGTTCTTAGAACATTTCTGGCGGATATTGTCTTGTCTTAACACATCGGGTTTATGTTCTAAGAACATAGCTTTCTTTTGACTAGAACATTCTAGGGTCCTAAGAACATGTCGTGGTAGGTCTATAGGAATGCCGGGACGGTCGGACCCGCGCCACATGCCGCGCCGCACGGGCCAAGGTCGCGGCGGCCGGGCACGTCTGCTGCAGCGCTGGGCCCTCCCAGGGGGGGCCCCGCTCGGGCCGCGAGGCCGTGCGAGAGTTTCCGGGTCCCCTGTGGCGGGGTCCATTGGCGGCGCGCACAAAAGGGGGTGAGGCGAGGGGGAGGGCTTAGAAGGAGGCTGCTTCTTAGAAGGCGCCGGCCTAACATCTATAGATAAGGCCCGCGCCTTCCAAGAAGCAGGGGTGATTCTAAGAAGCCCTCCCCCCTCCCCCCACTCCCCTCTGCGCGTGGCTAAGTCCGGGGGTCCAGGGGTCGGGGGGCCCGAGGATCGGAAGCGGCAAAGAGGGGGGTGATGACTAAAGGGGGGTGGATATCATGGCGGGGGCCATGATATTTCCTCGGATTTCATGGCGCCTCTTCTTATTCCATTACGTCCCTGGGCCCCCCGCTGGGCCGCGCACATGCCGCCTGTCATGATTTGCACCCCCCCCTCTTGGACACACCCCTCTTCGCCGCTCCCAAGAGGAAAGTCGTGACGTCTCCACGCCGGGTGTTTCGTTCCCCAGGCCGCGGCTTCAAGATCAAGTGATCGGCGTGTCAAGCGAGCGGGGGACGTGAGAACGAGAAGGCCTCCTCAGAAGGCGGCGGGACTTCTCAGAAGCCCTCGCGCCTTTGAGAAGCTTGCTGCGTCTTCGGGGAAGGCTTAGAGAACTTCCCAGAAGGCCCGGGGACTCCCGAGCCTTCTGAGAAGGCCTTCTCCTTCTCACTTCCCCCAGGCTCGCCGCCGATATGAGCGACTCAGAAAAAAAACTGTGTCTTTTTCCCCGACATTGACGCGTACGCTGCCCGCGTCAGGTCGCGCGTGAGCGCCCTCGCCTCCAATGTAGCATCCCACGATGCCGGCCCGCGTAAGCCGCCGCGTAAGATTGCTACGTCATCTCGCCTAAGACCCGTTTCTTTTCCTTGCCCGTACGGTAGAAGGAAAGGATCAGTGGACCCCCCTGGCTCCCCCAAATTCACAGTTGGCACGCACGGGGAAGATTGCGATCGAGCTGTACTTCAGATTTTGGACGCGCGGGTCCGCTTTTTCGAACTCCCTAGACTTACTTGGAAAAAAAGGGGCTTCGTTCCTTGCAGTCGACCCAGATTAGTAGGTCGACCCTGCCAAGTCAAGGGTACCCTTGTGTCCTGTGTCTTGCGACCCATTGCTTCCTACATTCCTGTGGCAATGTGACCCTCGGAAGGGCCTTGCATCCTCTCGCGTGTCCTGCCCAATCGATCGAGTCCGATTGTATTTCTCGTTCCTTTGGTCAGGCCGAAGCCTGTAATTTCTCCCGAGGCCTGTGCGGCACCACGTGGCCTGCCTGTGCCGGAGGCGACCGGCACACGTGGCCGCACACGTCTTTTTGTTTGGGGCCCGGTCTCGCGTGCGGCCAGGCGCACCGGCCCTCCGCACACGCATCTGGCAGGTGGCCTCCGCGCTCCTGCTTCAGCAGTTCCCTATAGGGCACGCGGAAGGGCCAGCAGCCGCTCCCCCCGCACTGACCCGCAGGGACTCGCGATGTGAGGCAGCGAGCCTCTCTGACGGGGCCACTTCGGATCCTGGTCCTGGAGCTACGTGGTATGCCCGCCCTAGCGAGCACAAGGCGCAGGGGATTTTGACAGAAGCGCGTGGGTCACCAGAGTAGGTGCTCTGACGTTGCACCCCCTGATGCGGATGGCCTTGTCCCTGTGGCGAAGCGTCCTGGCTTGTCAGTTGGCCCAACAAATAATGCTCTAAGAACCTTCTGCGGCTTGCACGACATGGTCTTAGAACATCCCTGGCTGAGACAATCATGGTTTAACTCGTCGGCTTCATGTTCTAAGGACATGATTGTTGTTCTTCGAATGTTTCCCTCGCGGAGCTTCGATGCGGAGGGTGGGGACGTCTCGCCAGACCCCTTCGAGCAGGGAGAACCTCAGGACTGCAGGTCGTTCGCTAGCTTCTGCCTCGGAGGTTGATAGACCTCCTACCCTGACGCGTCGATTAAGGAATTGGCCGTTTTCCGTTCGCGAGAGGGCGTCGCGGCCGTCATTTGTGCGGGTCCAGGTCCGTCGGCTTCGGTCCCAGGCCGTTTTCATTAAAGAGAGGTTTGCTAAAGGGAGGTTTGTCCACCGCCGACTGCCTCTGGGGGGCCCTTAATGGCCTCGGCACCGTCAACCAAAACGATTCAGGATGAGAAACCGGTCCCAGGGAATTGGTCGAGACTTTTGGGGGTCGACGTTATTAAAGGTCATGACGTCGGGGGTTTGGGTCTGGCAACCCTCTCCAACCCTCCAGAAGGTCCTGAGGGTTACGTTTCCAAGTTTGGGGGAACGCACGACTCGAGTACGCTCGAACTCGGGTTTGCCGAGGCTTTTTGACGAACGCGTCCTGGATGTTAACGGTCAAGTTTTCGTGGGATGCTTGCAGCGGGAGCTCGCGTCAGGTTTCAGATTGCCGGGTGTTGCTAGAACTGCCCCTGGGCCAAGGTGCCCCCAGGATTCTCTGGGTGGCTCAGACGGCTTCCAGAGCACCCCTGGCGAGGCCCAGAGGGCCCCAGGGGTTCCAAAAAGGAGCGCGAAGCTGGGGGCACATTGGGCCAGGGGTACCCTTAGCAACCCCCGAGACTGGGCCTCGTCTTTTTCACGATGGCCCCGCCGGGCCCCCCCCGAGCCCACCCGAAACCGAGTCCTATACATATATATATATATATATATTATATCTAATATATATATTATATATATAATATATAATATATACATATATATATATATATGAGTATTAGACGTTTCCCCGACGAGTCCGTGGGAGTGGGCGCGTAAAGCCCAGCGGCAAGAAATGGAGCGACCCGAGCGGCAGCAGTCCGCCGCGCTCCCCAGCGCTTGCTGCGCGCCCGGTGATGGCGAGCCGATCCGCGATGTGGTCAGTGGCGCCTAGCCTTGTCGATCAATGGAGAGGAAGCATGTTGCCAAATAGCTTCCAGATGTCTGAAACATGTGTTACACATGTTTAAAGCATGTATAGCCACATGTTTAAATTCAATGTTTGGAACATTTCCCGACATGTGAAACACAGTTTAAATTCAATGATCGGACTTTTAGGGTGTCCATTGTCGTGGCATCCGCAAGCCTAGTCGCACCCCCAACCCTCGAGCCGAAACTTGAGCTGATAAGCTTCTTTTCCACCATCACCACCACCACCACAAATTGGAGGGGGAGGGGGTCCTCCTTATAGTTCGCAACGAATAGTTAGCACATGTTTTATACAACGCTTGCTATCTATAGGTTTTTGTTGGTAAAAGTTGTCCGAAATGCGGGGTATTTTTTGGATTGTTTTTTCAACAAAAATCAATATAATTCGAGCTTCTACTCATAATTTAGGTCATCTATATAAAATCACGTCCATTTTTTTCGGGTGAAGTGCGTTTCTTTCATCTCGCTTTGCCGCCATTGTCGTGTTATCTAACGTGCGCCTTGGCGTGCTATCTAGTGGGCGCCGCCCGCCCCAAGATGGCCCCGGAGGGCCCCGAGGCGGCCCAAGAAAGCCCCGAGGCGGCCCAAGATTTGCGCTAACTCGAAGCATGTGTAGATCTGCATTCTCTGTATTGCTGTATAGATTCCATATTTGTGGAGACGCGCGCCTGAGACAATTCCTGCCCCTCTCCTCCTCTGCCGCTGATCCCCCCAGGCGGCCCAAGACTGCCCCGAGACCCCTCCCATGTCCAAACCTACATTTAGCACGCAATGGCGGCTGGACAAGGCCCCAAGACGGCCTACCTACAGGCGGCCCAAAACGCCCGAAGATGGCCCCAAGACGTCTCGAAGACGGCCCACGAAGGTTCCAAGACGCTCCAAGATAGCCCCGGGACGGTTCCCAAATAGCCCAAGACCGTCCCCAGGCGGCCCAAGACCGCCCCAAGACGGCGACCCATAGTTAGCACTCAACGACGGGGCTCTCAGGGGCCCAAGATCTGTACACTTAAAAGGGCCCGATATGTTTCAACGGGGCCCTGAGTGGGGTTCGAGACATCCTCACGAGTCGGGATCCGCCGCTCGAGACATCCTCAGAACTGGGGCGGCTGACTGACTGACTGACTGACTGACTGTCTGACTGACTTTCTGACTGACCGGCTGTCTAACTGATTGAGTTACTGACTGACCGACTGACTAACTGACTGGCCGGGAGGGGGCCGCCGCTCGAGACACCCTCACAACTCGGGAGCCGCCGCTCGAGACATCCTCACAACTCGGGCAGCTGACTGCCTGACTGATTGACTGACTGGCGGGGCGGCTGACTGCCCCCGCATGTGTCGTATTCGGTATTTTTCACGCGTTTTTGTATTTTCCCTTAGCCATCGGATTCAAGGTTGTCGCCAGTTCCCGATTATGTAGCGAATCGCCCGGGTTCCAGAGCGCCCCATAGTTAGCACACAATGGGCTCTTCGAGTATCTAAAAATACTATAGCAAAAGGGGACAACTGCACACGTTGCTATCTATTGTTGGACACTTCGTTTGCTAACTATTCGTTGCGGACTATATCCTCCTACTCCACCTTTTTCTCCTCCTCCTCCTCCTCGTCCCCCTCCTCCTCGTCCCCCTCCTCCTCCTCCTCCTCGTCGTCGTCCTCCTCCTCCTTCTCCTCCTTCTCCTTCCCCCCATCCAACTTATGGTGGTGGTGGTGGTGGAAAACATGCCGACCAGCCCTGGGGCCGATACTTGAGCCAAAA